TTGCGCATTAGCATGAAGGGATGAATGGCGCTCTAATATTGATTCGGCTATAATCAGGTATGCGTTGCCAGCGCCAATAAAGGAAAAGAAAAAGATTATTAATTCAATTTGTTTTTTTTAGGAATATTTCTGTTTCTAATGTGGATTTCAGCTTTTCAATTTTGCAAATCAACGAAAAACTTAATCAAATCAAGATCACACGCCACTGGAAGGTATTAAATTAATTTTCGATCAATTAATGTATGAGTTAAATAATTTTATGCCAAATTATGATATTCTTTCCAAGTAATTTTGTAGGTATTTCAGTAGTACACATTTAATCAAATCACCAAATCCAACTCTTTTATCTTAGTTCCAACAAAGTGTCAACAAGAATTGCCTTCTCTTCGGTCACATGACAAACTCATTAACACCCCACCTCTTTCGCTAAGGAATTAACAAATTTTATATTTATTTGACATAGTTTAGGAAAGAAAAAGGTTGATCAGAAAAGGTCACCGCTTAGACTTACCATCGCTGCTGCTGCTGCCTGCCTCACCCATGGCTCTCTTTGGTTGCCTTGGTTGGTTGTGTCAACTGTCACTTAAAATTGCGCCTTCACTTTATTTAATGACTGCAAAGGCAAAAGTTTTTCTTACTAAGCAACAACAAAAACAACAACAACAAGCACAACAAAAAGTGAAATTCAAAAATAACTTCGAGCGTCCGCTCACCTTTTTGGCTAGTATCCTGTGGGGTAGTGTAAAGGTACGAGTACCCGAGCCATGCAAGCGTAAACTTTCGAGTACATTCATAAATACTAGCGAACGAACTTGCAAGTAAATAAAAATTGTAGTGAGGGAGCAGAAAGTTATCTTTACGTATTCCTCTGTCCGTCAGTTTTAATTTGTTGGCGCTCTAATTCAACTTTAAATATGTTTACTCTCTACTGTTTTGAGAATGGTAATTTGGCAAATTAAATTGCAGTTTTTGCTTGTAGTTTTTGTAGTTTCTGGTGTTTCTTAGTGCTGTGAATTTTTCTTTTAATATTTGCTTAACATTGTACATATGTATGTCTATTGAATAAATGATGAACTTTAGCCAAAGTGTTACAAACCATTTATTTCCCAGTTTTCTTTCAAGACATCAGAAAAATTAATCACCTTAGGTGGATCACTCTTCATCACGACAAAACCAGCTCCCACACATCGACTAAAACAACTGCATTTTTGGGTACTCCTTTGAAACGTCATCCAGCGTATAGTCCTTACTTGACACCGAATGACTGCCCTTTTATTCTCCTATGTAAAAAACGAATGATACCATCTATCGGGTTATAAAATGGACCAATCCAATCAAAAATCTGCGGGTGACTCTTGGTCCACTTCTGAAAATTTTTATATATTAATCCAAACCATAGAAACGATTTTTTCGAACAGATCGATCCTAGGTACTATACCTGCAAACAAAAGTAATGTTCCTGACAAACTAAGCAAAAGCTTAACTATGTATCAAATTTCAAGTAAATCGAACCTTAAACTCAAATTTTTCAAATAGATCAGTCCCAGGTCCTCTTCTCAGTATGAAAAGTAAATGTTATGTTATACTCAGACTTGCTGAGTATGCAGGTATATGCACCGTAAATTTCATTAAAATCGCTTCGGTGGAGTATCGTATCTAACACTGTGACACAAGACATTTATATATCAAATAGCGAGTATCGACATTACATCACATCACTTGAGATAACATCACGTGATATCACATCATATGATATAACAACACATCACATTATATGAATAATTTCAATTAAATCACTACCACCCCTACTATAGAACATAGAATATCACGTCTGTTGAAGAGGCTTCGACAAAAGGTGTTCGGTTTCCTCTAGTACCTCGGAAGTGTTGGAATCTGGACTGAAAAAACTGCATTTTTGGGTACTCAAAAAATCGATTTGATATGTAATCAATCGTATAATCCTGACTTGTCACCGAATGACTGCGCTTTTACTCCCCTACGTAAAAAACTGAAATGCCAAAGTTTTCCGATACCTAAAGTTTCGGTTGATATGTTCAGAACTTAAGTTTCTGAGATACCTCAATCAGAGTGGCATGCAAAAGTTTGTAGATCTTAATGGGGGAATGCATTAAAAACTATAAATTGATTTTTTAAAATTAATAGCTCTCTAATCTAAACGTATATCAAAGGCAACCTTCGCTGAACACGCAAAAATTTAAAATTTGTCTAGCCTACAGAAAGGAATTGGGATCATTTTTTCAAGTAACGTTGAGAATAAAAGTGGACTGCGATTCAGAAAGTCTTACGTCACTATATTTTACTGTTTCTGAATTAATAAAAAATTTCAAACATCATGAAAACCTGTTTTCCTCAGCAGTCTGTGAATCAAACGTTCTAAAGGCGAATATGTTTTAAGAAGAAATTTTCCTGCAAAAAAGTTAAATGTGACGATAAATTCAAAGTTACTTTAATGTTATTAAATTTAACTTTAAAGAATATTTCGGTTCTGACACATATGCACTTAATTTTCGATAAAAATCGTAAGTTTGTAAATTTGTAAAAACCAAATGTAATCCCACATTTGATGCGAACAGTCGAGAAGAAAGATTAAGCAAACAAATATGACTCTTTGGCCTTCTATAGTCCACAACTTGAGTGACCACCATTTGCGGCCGTTATGGGAATGCGTATCACATCAGTCGGCTGTGTCTTGTAAATTCACTCGATACGGTCTTCGCCTACAAAGATGAATAGTTTTGTTTGCGCAGAAAATCTGCATGTGGTAAGAGATCATTAGTAGCGATAGTCAATCGACAATCTAGGAAAAGGGGAAAAAAGCTCTCTTGAGTTTAAAAGGGAAGTTTAGAATAGACAAAAGAAAATGGAAAGAGTGTAGTTGTTAGTATGAAGAGCTTGAGAAGCACATAGTGGTAGGGATTGGAAAATAAATTCGATGATAAAATGCAGCGTCTTCAAAAATATTTCCAGACGGAAGCATACTCATATAGGCTAGATGATTTGGGGGCCGAGCATACTACGTTTATGGAAAAATACTTTCCTAGCTTATTGCATTGCAATCAAAGTCAATCATTCGATCATGACGCACCTGTTAACCCAATCGATGAAGATATACTCTTAATAAATGTTCCACACTAAACTATGAAGAACACCGAGTGGCTTTCGGCTGTCAGAGTGCCAGGAACCAATTCATTTCTAGCTTCATCTTCTTCTTTATTGGCGGGTGTGATGATATTTTCGTTCGTCGAGAGAGGACTTTACTTTTCAATTGCCTACGCAGTCCAAAATAGCACCTGTTGGCAAGAGTAATTCTGCATTGGATTTCAAGTCTGTCTTAATTTTTGATGCATTTCCAGCTAAACTTCTAAAATTCGATGGACAGAAACTGACAAAGTGCAAACATCAAATGCTTTGCAAAATATGTTGGAATGAATGCATGTGGCTGCGGTAACCGAGTGGTGCATACTGCCACTCGGAAGGATCTGGTTCAAGTCCTGTTGTCGTCTTAACATCCAAAAAGTTATAGAAAATTTATTTTAAATGAAGGAAATGAAATGAAGCTAAATTTTCTAAATGCGGGTCCCTACCCTGTATGGTATGTCAAACCCTTCTGGAGTATTTCTAAAATGATATAAAGCTCCTCATAAAAAACCGTCAGGTGGCTTAGTATTGTATAAACTTTAGGTGTCTCCTTTTGTTGGAAAAACATCAAGATACAAAACCACGCAAATTGGAGGAGGAGCTCGTGCGAAAACCGCCTCAGCGGTAATTTTATATATGAGTGCATGCCTAACGATTGCAATCTAAGTGTTAGGTAGACCCAATACACAAAAAGGGCAACCAGGAACCTATATCAACACCAATAATAATGTCAGCCTTGATAACCAACGCCGAATTACCCTTGCTAACAGTTGCTTCTTTGGACAGAATGGGCATCTAAAAAGGAAAGGAAAGTCCTCTCTCGTTTAGTGGAGAGCAAGCTCTACAACTATCTCGTCATTCCCCTGTTTCTATATGATATTTACAATATCTGCCAGTGATAGCAGGGAAAGGGGAAGACCTCCACTTCGGTGGAAAGATCATATGGAGGAGAATTTGGCTTCATTCGGTATCTCCAATGGGTGGAGATGTCGAAAAAGCGAAACAACTGGCAGGCTGTAGTTACTCGGCTATAATCACGCCAACGGGGTCTTTCACTATAGAAATGAGCGCTAAACTATTTATTTCTATATATACATAGTTGGCGATTAATAACCGCTGTAGCGATTTTCGCCCGAACTCCTCTTCCGATTTGGGGTTATCCTCCGAAGAACTCATGGATTTTGTCGAGTAGCTTTTTATTTCATGCCAAAAAAATACTCATAGGAATTGAAAATCATTGTTCTTTAGCATTCTGAGAGTGGGTCTGGCCATTATTCGAACCTGTCACACGGTGGTACGCACTGTTCACCACTCAGCTGATGCGAGCGCAATAATAAATTCCTTACTACCAGACTTCTAATTGGACATTAAATCCTGACCATTTTTATTTGTATCAATATTTATTTACTGTAATTTATTAAAGCTCAAAAACAATTTTGCCAATCAAAGGCCATACCACAGTTTTGAAATCATTAATCGTTCTCTATTTAACTTACAAATTGGTTGTGATTATATTTCAATTTCGAAAATAGCTCCTGTATCAACAAATTTCTTAGCAATTTCACGCTGTCCTTCGCCCAATTAAATTGTCATTTCGTACCTGAAGCTATCCTTTGGCAATGCGTGGTAGAAGACGAGTAGCATTTAGTACATTCATTCGTGCATATTTACTTACGGCATTCCGCCATATAAAAGCCGCGTGCAACCTTTAAGCCAAGCCAACTTTGCAGCAGACGCTTAAATATCGTCACGACGGCAACAAGCGTGTCTCATTGCTCGCAGCGCATCTATATACATATATATACATAAAATACAAACGGTAGTACTCCATCACCGTGGAAATGCAACTGCACGCACATACGCACGTCACCACTTTGTTGCAGCTCTTAAGTAAGTTATGTTGACTGCGTGCATGCAAGCGAGTATGCAGTGCTGCCTGCTGGCTACTGAAAATAACTGCTGCACCGTTAACACCAAATTTACGTACCTGCTACCTTTAAACACGCTGACATCGTACAGTCATCACTGTCACTTTGCCGTTCACTGTTTTAGTCAACATCACGCTAGACCGCCACCACCCACGCTGCATTGTGTGGAGCTCTCGCTGAGCCGCTTTACTTATTTGCTTTTCTCTTACAGTCCAACGGTATTTTGCGCAATTCTCCTCTGTGTTGATTGTTCATGATGGACGCGTAGGTGCTGGCAGTGACCTGCAGCGTGAGTATCTTGAGGCAGTGCAATTGGCATTCCGCAATCTGTCCCAGCAGGGCTGCGTAATTGGGCTGCAATGGATTGATGTCAGTTAACTGGATGGACGTGGGAGCAGCAGATACAGCAACAGCAATGCAAGGAATGACAGCCACAGCAACGTCGATGACGGTTTGGTCTATGATGATGAGTTGGAATTGCATTTGCTGCGCGCCGTTGACATTGTAACTGAGGTAAGTGACGCCGCTTTGGTTGTTGTATTTCCAAAACCAAAAGAGAAAGGATAACATCATCTCCAGTACAGGGTTTTAGTAACATTTTGGTAAGCCTGCATTTTTATGGAGACAATTCACATTTGCATTTGACCACCCTCACCCACTTCCTTTCTCTTTTACATATATTTCTGTTGGTGGTTTGTTGATTTTTTCGCTTTTTTCGGCTGCAGGGTTTCATCACCATCCTACCGGACACTGTGCGTTTCCTACACGCTCGCTACTTTGCCACACGTTATGCCGAGTTACGTCTTAAAGATAAATTTTATCTGTTTTTGTGCGAACTCGAAAATCCGACGGATTTGCTATCAACTGAAATATTGCAGTGTAAGTGAAAAGCACACATTGTTGTACTAGTAGGGAGGGCAATTTTATACTAAATATTTTATATATGCAATAAGGGCATATTGAGACACAAGACGGATGCTAGGAATAAATCCTCCTCGTAGTGTTTTGTATAAGTAAGAAGCCGCTTCTGGCTTCTGCGATAGCTCAGTCAACTTTTCAATGCCCCAAGAATTTAATGATCATGATAAAGTCTTAATTCCCGCTTCAAATCATAAGGACAAGTCGTTGAAGTGGTAGGTCTCCCGTTAATACCAATTATAATAATAATAATAAGACAAAATACGCTCGGTTTCCAGCAAAGCTGGTTTGAGGTTTCCAAAGGGTTGGTGGACTGATAAGATACGCGTGTATTGCTCACTAACATTCCGACCAACATCCATCCAAAACTTATAAAAAATGAAGCCAATTTACCAAATTAGGACCGTCCCTGGGCAACTTTCCCTGTCGAAACAAAAGCTCCTCATAAAAGTCCATCTGTTCAGAGCCGTTTGGTTAGTATAAAATAAATTGTAGGTCCGTCCATCTGTTGGAAAAACTTCTGATTTGTAGTCACTATGGTAAGTTTTTTCGCATGCTTAGACTCAAACTCCACTGCAAAGTAAGACTGACAACTCAACCTTGCTTTTCTCAGCAGACTAAGCAAATGTCTTACTCCGCTATTCAGAACGTGGTGTGGTGTAAGACGAGAATAAAGTTAAGTAATCTAGTTAATGTGGAAAACTATCTATGACGCGTACCGCTTACACGATTAAAGCCGAATCAACTGGCTCCAGTTGGAAATACCAAGTGAAATCAGATCACTCTGCACCTGATCCTTCCCATGGAGTGGAGGTCTTGCCCTTCCTCTGTTTCCACCAGCGGGTACTGCCACAACCTTCAGTCGCTGAAATATGACGATATCAGGGTATAGCTTGTACTCGTTCCATCGACTACCATATTCGCCGTTGCCAATGCCGGCTCATCAGACGATATTAGTTTAATGTTTGTTTGATGGCAGGAGATGTTTCGTCGTGTTCTCGTTCACTACTAGACCCTAACTAACGGCTCCGTTGCTGAGGCCAGTAATGTCAATACCAGCGACATACTCCAATAGTAGAACACTCTTGTAAATATTGTACCTTCTCTATTGGGCTCTGCAGCTCTTATTATTTTCTCCAGCATCAAAATGAAGAAATCACACGATAAAGGTCACCTTGTCTGAAACCTCGATTGATAGCGAACAGCTCGGAGAAGTTTTCCCCAATTCTCACTGTGCTTGTGGTTTTGTCTAGCGTTGGTTCTCACGGCCGTGTAAATTGTGTGGGGATACCAAATTCAGGCATAGCAGCGTAGAGTCAGCTCATTTTTATGCTGTCGAAGGCAGCTTTAAAATCGACGAAAAGCTGGTGGGTGTCGATCCTCTTTGCACGGGTATTTTTCAAGATTTTGCGCTTGGTGAATATCTGGTCTATGGTTGACTTACCAGGTGTGAAGCCACAATGATAATGTCCAATCAGTTTGTTGACGGTGGGCTTCAGTTTTTCATAATACGCTCGACAGGACCTTAAGGTGGTATTAAGGAGGGTTATCCCACGATAATTGGCATAATTTTATGAATTCGGCAGGGCACACCCAAATTCCAATCGTCAAGTAGCTGATGCTTGCACCGTGTCAGCCTTTCACCGCCATGTTTGAACAGCTCTGCCGGTAGGTCGTCTGCTTGTTGTTCATTAAGCGGACAATCGCTATTCGAACAGCGACATAGTGCGGCATTGTAGATCAGTTCAAAGGAGCTTAAGCAACATCTATGAGATGGATATACGTTGTGAGGAACACCCAATTCGAGTGAAGTTATGATCTATAATCTAAAGTTGGTTATACTTACACTGATACAAGCTATAAGAAACTTCGTTCTAGCCGTCTTTATGTGGGAACGTCCCAACTACCTTCCCGTGGGATTTACTGAATATTCGAAAAGACGAGTAGAAGTACCGAACCATGACCTTCTCAGGAGGGAGCAGTAGCTACTCACCTTTTTCTTATGCAGTCTTGTCTTCTCGAGTTATATGATTTTCCTTTATGTACTGTTATTTGATATTAATGAGGTAACGTGATGATGTGATGTGATATGTTCATGTGATCGAATAAATTGTTGTTATTATTGTGCGTCACAAGGTTTACAAACACAACTCCATAGGGACCGCGGCTTAACATCCTCAATGTGGGTCGTTGTCTGAACCAGCCGAAATACAAAGCGGTATAAGGTGGCTGATAAAACAACAAAAGCAATAACTCAACAACTCCATTCCATTGGTTGCCTCTCCTACAACGAGTAGTCATCTTTCATTTAAATTACTGTTCAAATTGTTGTTATTTGGTAACTTTTTAACTGTAGCTTAAGCCCCAGTTTTAAATACAAATATAAATATTGCTTCTGGCAGAATTTCCTAAATTTTCTGTTTTTCCTCTCCAGTTTACCCCCACCATCTTATGGTTACACCGGAGATACCTACAACTCAGCAAACGGACAATCCACAAGGTATTTGAAAAGTCGAAAAAATAAAAAATAAACAAAGAGTCAATTGCAAATGAACTCACAAAACTACCCTATACTCTGCCAAACAGCAACAACTAACCAACAACGCCGCAAGCGCTCCACCATTAAGCCAATAACTAACCAAGCAACTCGACTCACCACCCCTACCGCCTTAACATCATCCTCCGAGACCACGCACCGCGACATCAATATCCAACTGTGGACACAAAAGTTTGTTGGTGCAAGCGGAAATTTGGATGCGCTGCTACTGGACGCATTCTTGCCGAACGAAACTTTCGCCCGACATGCTGAACTTTTCCCTAACAAACTTAACAATTTGAGAGGGCGCCCCATACAGGTCGGTGCTGTTACCTACATACCATATGTGGTGACTAATTATGTGGTATGTATATATGTATATGTATGCGCTGTTAACTTTATACTCCTATGCACTTATTTATAGCCATTTAATGCTGTATGGCTTAGTGTTGGGGCGTAGCAGACGCTGGGTGGGGAAGGGTTGGACTGTCGGGGGATGGAAATTAAAATGTAAACACATGTAAGTGGGCGTGTTCCTGCTAAAAGTGTTATTTGCTGAGATTATGTGCACGATGTGCGGTGGGAGATAAGAGCAATAACAACAATAGTTACAACAACAAACTGGCAAGCATAACATAACATGGCACAACAACAGAGCAGAGCAGAGCAGAGAAATGACAAGTTGAAAACTTTTGTTCACACTCAATTGTTGACTTAACAAGAAAACACGCATGTGTGCGTTTTTGTGGATGTGTTGATGTGTATGTGGGTGTGTGTGTATGCGAAACATGTTTAAGTGCTTGTAGCTATTTGCCACAGTTTGTTTATTATTAGCTTTTACATTTATTTTGTTTATATACGAGTGTACACTTGTGTATGTTCTTATCACTAACTTACATTCGCTTATCTTTACATGCACATAAAATCATATCTCCACACATGTATACGTAATTGTTTTCTTGTTTTGGTTTACGGCAATTCCAATTGATTTAAATTACTGTTTGTCTGTCTCCTAATTTAATTGTCAATTCAATTTGAGTAAATTCCATTTGGCAGTTGTCCCTTTTATGGTCGACTTAAATGAACTTGGTCAGTAAATTAATGAATGGCTCATTAAACATTTAGCACGAGTACATACAATCATACATATATATACATGCACTTGTGCTCACATAATTAGGCCGCTCGTAGAGGAAAAAGAAAAAAATTCTTAAAATTTATGTGAAATAAAACAAAAGCTTCACAAAACTATTAGACTGCATGGCAAGAAGTTTCAGCCACAGCAAGAACCCATCAGTATTTGAAGGCAATTTCACACTTACAATATATTGGATGAGTGAATAAGTTCGTGCCCGATTTCAAGTGCAAACTAAAATTGAAATTTTTTGAAGAAAGCGCTTTTATTAATCAATTATGTATTCGCCATCATGTTCGGCAATTCACTCCCAACGTTCAACCAATTTACGGATGTCTGATTCATAGAAATCGCGCGGTTTCTCGTTTAAAAAGGTGTCAAGGTAGTTTTTGACGTCTTCCACATTTTTAAATTTTTTTCCATTCAAATTGTTCTGCAGCGATCGAAACAAATGATAATCAGAAGGTGCAATGTCAGGTGAATATGGGGGATGCGGCATGATTTTCCAGTTCATCTCCTTCAGTTTGGCCAGGGTCGGTTTTGCAACATGTGGCCTGGCGTTGTCAGGATGGAAAAAACTCTTTTGCGATTGGCCAAAATCGGACGTTTTTCATCAATTGCTTTCTTCAATTCGACCAATTGCTGACAATACTTGTTGGAAGTGATCGTTTCTCCAGCTGGCAAGAGCTCAAAATAGATCACGCCTCAGATATCCCACCAAATGCACAGCAGTACCTTCATCGGATGCAATCCACCTTTCGACATCGGTTCCGCCCCTTCGTGTGCCTGTTTCCATGTTCGTTTGCGTTGAACATTGTTGTACAGGATCCATTTTTCATCACCAGCCACGGGCCGATCCAAAAAGAAATTGCTGTTGACATACGGTCCACTTTGTTTTTTTCACTCAACTGATGTGGCATCCATTTATTGAGCTTCAAAGTGTACCCAACCTTTTTTAAACGACGAAACGCAGTTGATTTGTTGACGTTCAATTCACTGGCAACCTCTTCCGTCGAAATACGTGAGTTATTCGCAACTAAAGTCCTTAGAACATCGTCATCAAGCTCAGAAGGCCGTCCACTGCGAGGTTGATCTTCGAGGTAAAAATCTCCAGAACGAAATTTCGCGAACCATTTCTTTACTATGCGGAGTGCTGGAGCACGGTCCAAATAAACTTCGCGAATATCTTTAGTTGCAGCGCCTACTGTTTTTTTGCGGAATTCGTATAACATTAGATGACGCATATGATCTTTTTCGTTGTCCATCTTCCATGCGTCTTTTCACTAAGCAAATCAAATCAAAATGAAATTGTTTTATGCTTGACTTACAGTTCGGACTGTCACCTTTCCAACGATATATAATATGTATATATTTCTTTCACGAACGCCACTCTCAGACGATTCGAACGGCATCCAGCGGGATCGGGCGCGAGCTTATGCACTCATCTACTAAATAAAATTTCAAAAAACTGACCGTTATACATATTGTATCTGTCCACTCTTACTCTAACAGTATTCGATTATTTTTGCATCAAATTTAAAAAAAAAAAACATTATTTACCATAGTTAAAATTATCCGATTTACATATGTTAAATATGCACCGTTTGGCTCGATAACTTCTTGCTATTTTGAAGGAAATGCCATTTTGCCTCTCTCATAGAAACCCTCTTGGAGTTTCTAGCGAGTCATTAGCGATGCTTTTAGTTTAGCGTTGTCCTTATGAAACACAGTTCCCCCCTGTTGGCCAAAGTTAAGTTTTTCCCTTCTGGGCGAATGCTTCCTTTAAGACAATCCAAATACTGATGGTATAAATGTACTCAAAAACTATCGAGAATATGTTTTCACAATTTCAATGGCCAAATGGGCATATTTTAGAAGCTGGAGTAGTCGGCCACTAATGCCGAGCAGTTTCGAATGCTTGGGCAAAACTATTAAGCACGTTTTCTCGAATTTATATTTTATTTTTTATTATATTTTTTGAAAGTCTTAGAAAACGGTGCCGAAGATAGCAAAAAGAATATAAGTCCGATCGTAAAAATTCAAAGTGATTCGAAAAAAATGTGTTTTTTCGGGTTCTTAAGAGCTTAGTCGTAGGGAAGGAGCTCATAAAGGTGGAGGATTTTCTTAGCAAACCAAACAAACGCTTTTGTGGTAAAGCTTCAAGACCATTAATCCTGGCTTGGAAATCGTTTGTGCCGTCTCGGTGCCCTTCGACTACAACCGTTTTTTTCACTAACCACCATCTGATTCAGAAATAGGTGGATTTGGTTATGAATCGCAGATGGAAAATCGGTTAATGAGGGTTTTTCTCGATAGCTCGTGTGGCACCCGTATATCGAGATTTTTTATGTATCCAGCCTGTTTGTGGTGCAATTTTTATCTCCAGAGCAATCGATAACTGACCTTCCTTACCGTGGAGCCTGTTTTACAAAAAAATTACTAGAACGAGATCAACGAAACCAAAACTTCGTATGATTGACTGTTACATTATCATGACCATGAAGGTAATTCAAATTTTCAGCTGTCTGTCTTACGTTTCGAGATCGTACAATAAAGCATCTTTTCTCATTGTTATGTTGACATTACAGCATGAATGGATTACTTTTTACTAGACCTACTTTAATGTGTTTTAAGTGCCATTTTTTGCATTTTCGACATCGTTACCGCCGGCCACAGTAGCTGAGTGGTTAGTATTGCGTACTGCTATTCGAAAGGCTCGGATTAAAATCCCCATTCGATAAAGCAAGTTAAATTTTCTAATTGCGGTCGCCCTCGACAGGTAATGTCCACCCCTTCGAGCGTTTTTTGGACATAAAAATCAAAATCTCCTCATAAAAAGGCCATCAGCCGTTCTGAGGCGGCTTAGTATAGCCTGTAGGCCCCCTCCATTTGCTGGAAAAAAACAACAAGACGCAAAAACCCGCAAATTGGAGGAGGAGCTCGGCCGAAAATCGCTTCAGTGGTTACAAAGCGCCAATTATGAATTATATATATTATATATCTGCCAAAGCAACTAGTGCCTAAAATAATAAATCGCTTCATCGTTCTTACCTATGTTGGTGATGTACGAAAACAGACTTTCAGGACTTATAAAAAGGCATATGTCTGGCTGCAGTGGGTTCATAGACAATAAAGGAAATAGGAACTCACTCCTTAAGCCAACTGTAAAGAGAATTACATTCATACATTGTTGAGAAATATTTTCTAGAATATCTTCTCTACACCGACTGCTCTTTAACTGTTGTAGTTCACTGCATTCATCCGGAATAACTTTATTCCGCTCATATTGGATAATAGATCATAGAGAAGCATGTTTTTTTCATGCCACTCCATAGAATTACAATGGGGCTTAGAGCCTGACTTTGAACAGCATAACATTTTTTAGCTTTTAACCAATTTGAAACGACTCGTGGGTCTTACTTTATTGAAAATAGTCAAGATAACCGTCATTTAAACGGCATAGGTAAAGCCCTTGCCTTTATTAACCAGTATACAACTAGTATTATAAAAAGCTGACGCATATTTGTTGCTAACTACTAGTGTTTCTCCCTGGAGAGAGAGGCCGTAAAGCAATCCCACATCTTCACTGCAGAGCCACCATATTTTACGGTTTTTTATTAGCCTACTTGCGTAATTCCTACTGGTTACCTTACATAGGGTCTATCATCACTCCCGATTGCATTAATCTTCGATTCGTCACTCTAAACAACTGGATCCCATTTTGATTCCTTTTGAATGTGCTACTTAGCAAGATCTATGCCTTGATTTAAGGTTCTACTTTGAAATTTGCAGTGCAACTTGTACAATTAAGAAACTATCTTGCAGTCGACAACGAACTGCTGTGAACACAGTGAAATCCCCCATTGGAGACCTTATTTCAATGAAGGTTAGAAACAAATCATCTCACTCATACGAATAATTTTCGGATGGTCAAAAGTTGTTGTCTTTCTATTTGCTAATGTTTCAAAGGTATAATAATGGTTGAAGGCATTCTTGTCTCTTTCTCTCGGGAAACTACATATAGCGGAACTCTTACTTTCGCCGATTTTTCCCTGGTCCTTTAAAAATGTCTTCTAAAAAAATAAATTCAATTTTAAATATTTGAATGGGATGTATTTGAAAATTATTTACTGATAATGAAAGTGTTCTTTTATTTATTAGGCACCTGGCATGGGTGATGTTGATGCATTGAATGCGACTGATTACAGCCGCACGGTGTCTTATTTGGGCTCGGAGGCAGAAGTTATGAAATCTTTCTGTGAATTGCACAATTGCCATTTGAGAGTTGAGCAGTGTAAGTACAAATAATTTAATTCAAATTATTACTCACAAATATAAATGGTGACTGTTTAAGAGCTATAAGAAAGCTTTTAAAAAAAGCAGATGAATTTTAGAAAAATGCAAGAAATCTTTATTTGAATCAATAGTACGGTCCATATAATTTAATGTTTTAAGATTATTTTATGCAAATGTTGATCGTGACTGCGCCTTAAATGGTCCATCCGCTTAGACCAATTTTGGCATACTTTTCCCTACATTTCACGAATCTCACGAATAAATGCTTCTATGTTGTCCTCCAATGCGTCAATCGAAGCGGACTTGTCTGTATAGACATTAGATTTAACATAGCCCCACAAAAAAGAGTCCAAAGGCGATAAATCGCACGATCTAGGCGGCCAATTGACCGGTCCCGAACGTGAAATAAAATGTTCACCGGACTCGCCTCTCAATAAGTCCATTGTCAAGCGTGCTGTGTGACATGTTGAACCCACATGTCTTTCAAGTCAAGCTCTTGCATTTTTGGCAAAGAAAAGCTTCATATTATCTCACGGTAGCGCTCACCATTCACAGTTACGTTATGATTCTGCACCCATTAAGCCAAAAACGAGCTTCGAAGCGCGCGATGAACTTTCTAAAATTCAATAATTTGCAACCGTCGTTCATTTGTAAGACGATTCATAGTTAAATTATAGTCCAAACGGAAGATTTCTGACAGTGATACAAAACACGAAACGTGCGTCACCCTTTATATTGAAAAAAAATCTTTAAGCAAACCCATGAAGCAATTTTCGGCCAAGCTCCTCTTCCAATTTGCGGTTTTTTTCGTCTTGTTGTTTTTTTCAACAAATGGAGGAATCTACAGTTTATGCTAAGCCGCCTTCGAACGGCTGATTGTTTTTTTTATGAGGAGCCTTTTTTTCATGTCAGATATACAATCGGAGGGTTTGACAATCCCTGCCGTGGGACGACCCCAATTAGAAAATTTAACTTAATTTTCCATTTTATTTGGACTTTAGTACGACACCAGGATTTGAGCCTGAGGCTTCCGAATGGCAGTACGAAATGTTAAACACTCGGTTACCGCGGCCTCTGAACGGAAATGAGAAAGTTGTAGATTTTAATCTTTTTTGTAGACAAAGGAATAAAATAATGATTGCTGGCGTATGCAGACTCTTATTAAAGAGCTCTACAGCCCCTTGTATTTTCACCAACATCAAGTCAAATGAATGAGACGGTAAAGTGTCTTCCTGTCGGAAACCGCAGAAGGATCTGAGTGATTGCTCCTTATTCTGACTGCGATTCCAGCATTGTTCAAATGCCAAATTAACACATAACGTTGTGCCCTCGAAAGCAACTATAAAAACCTATGACCTTAATCTGATACTCATCCCCTTACTTTCCCTTTTTTCTGTAGTACTTATCCTTGTTGAAAATTTGTTACTCTCTCTTTGTATTGATCATAAGTTTTCCATTTTAACCTCTTCCATTGCCTTCAGACGGCGTCGATAATTGGGGCTATATATATGAAAACGAGACCTGGGGCGGTGTTTTGGGTGGTATCTATACACAAAACGTTGAGGTGGCTATCGGTTGCATTTACAATTGGTACAACAACATCACAGAGACATCGAATACGATTGCGCGTTCAGCAGTAACCTTATTGGGACCAGCACCAGCGTAAAACGAATTCAAAATTTGCAAAAGAGTATTTAATTGTTTTTTTTATCTTCCAGCCTATTCCCAGCATGGCGTGCCAACATAATGCCCTTTAGTAGCGAACTTTGGGCTTTCCTAATCATGACGATTCTACTCTGTGCCTCTGTGATGTATCTTATTCGTTTTACTTCGTTTACATTGAAAAACTTACGCTGGAATTTAAAACGAAATTTCAAACATTCAACTGCATTTGGCCAAGCAGTATTGGATATGTTTGCGGTATTTATACAACAGCCATCGGGGCCGACAAGGTAAGCAGGTTTTCTTACTCAAGAAATACAATTATTTTATGCTATCACGCAATATTTCATCACACCATAAGTGAATATTTTTATGTACGAATTAACGCCAGAACTTCTTTCTTCATCATTAAAAAGCCTGCGAAGTTTTGCCGCACGTTTTTTTCTGGCAATGATTCTTTGTGCCACTATAACATTGGAGAATACCTACAGCGGTCAGTTGAAGTCTATTTTAACTGTACCATTATTCACTGAAGCTGTCGATACGATGGAGAAATGGTCGAAAACTGATTGGGCTTGGTCAGCCCCGGCTATAGTATGGCGACAAACTATAGAGGGTTCAAATATTGAGAAAGAACAAATAATGGCGAAAAAGTTTGTGGTGCACGATTATGATTTTCTGTACAATGCAAGCTTTCGCATGGACTACGGTGTGGGTATTGAACGATTAATGAGCGGCTCCTTCACTTTTGGTAGTTTTATATCGGCACCAGCGTTGGAAACGAAGATTGTAAGTTTACTTTAATCGATTTTATTTCATTTTGTATAATTTAATTTTATGTTATTATGTCTCTTATTTTATTTTATCTAAGTTTATTTTATTATAATTTAGTTTTATATTATATTTTTTCCTTTGTTTTATTTTATTTTATATCATTTTTTTTAGTTTATTTAATTTTTTTTTCTTTTTCTCTTATTTCATTTTACTTAATTTTATTATATTATGCCATATTATAGTTTATTTATGTATATCACTTTATTGTATCTTGTTTTATTTAATTTTAGTTTATTTTATATGACTTCATTTTATATTTTTCATTTTACTTTATTTTGTTTTATTTTATATAAGTTTATTTTTTTATTTAATTTTTTTATTAATCTTTTTTTAATTTTATTTTATATTATTTTCTTCTATTTGATTTTGTATTAATAAATTCATTTAATTTATTTTATTATATTTTATTCAATGTTAAATTTTTTATTTTACTTTATAAATTTTACTTTTTATTATTTTCTTTTATTTCATTATATTAAATTTTATTTTATTTTATTTTATTTTATTTTATTTTATTTTATTTTATTTTATTTTATTTTATTTTATTTTATTTTATTTTATTTTATTTTATTTTATATTATTTTATTTTATTTTATTTTTTTTATTTTTTTTTATTTTATTTTATTTTATTTTATTGTATTAAGTTTTTTTTTTTTTTTAATTTAATTATTAATTTTTTTTCTTTTATTTTATTTTAGTTTACTTAACTACTTATTAATTTTTTCTGTTGTTTAAAGGTACCAAAAGACGATTTATATTTTGATTGGACTCGTGCTGTCTCAATTAGAGGTTGGCCACTGATGCCACTTTTCGATAAACATATTCGCGCTTGTATTGAATCGGGACTCTTTGTTCACTGGGAGAGACAAGTAAGTATTGTCGAAGATAACAGATGGGCGAAGGAATTTCATGAGGAACCTATTGTTAGAGTAAAATTCAAAGACCACTATTAACGCTGGCTTCAATTCGTGAGGTATATCATTTAAGGATGCTATACGGAACACCACTGAACCGAACAAAGATCATCCGTGAATCTTATTCACTTAGAGTTGAACACTATGGACGGGCTCGGAGCAAGAATAATAATATAATGGTCTTTCTTCTAAAGAGCATACAACAAAGTCCCCTTCATAGCCAGGCGATGATGTTTAATTACATGTAATTTAAGGTCGGTTTTTCCCGATGGCAGCCGCGGTAGTCGAGTGGTTAGCATTGCGTGACCAACCAAAAGTTATAATAAAATTCATTTAAATAAAAAATTAAACCAAATTTTGTAATTGCGATCGCCTCTCAGCAGGGAATGTCAACGCCTCAGGTATGAAAGATAGGCTTCTCATAAAAAAAACCATCAGCCGTACAGAGGCGGCTTAGTATAAACTCGATTCAACGGTTATGAAGCACCAATTATATATATATATATATATATATATAATTTTCTCGATATATATATATATTTCTCGATGAACTTATGTCTCTCTTTTTCCTTTCAGATCGTCGCGAAATATTTGAATAGAAAAACACAGGAAATCATGTTGGGCTTAGCATCTGGACACATTAATAAGCTACCACCACAAAAGCTAACTTTAGAAAATATTTCCGGAGCTTCATTTGCTTTGCTCTTTGGTTGTTTGTTTGCAAGCATCGTCTTTATGTTGGAATTGACAGTTCATCACTTTGAGAAATTTCGCGTGTCTTTTAAAAGTTCACTTTCGAAAGACAAGACCAATGAAATGGCTCAGTCATCGAGTTTAAGTCCCTACTGAGCTAACGTCTTTTGTTCTACCATAATCAATACAAATTACAGATATTTAAACGCGCGCACGTACATGCAATCACTTTAGTGAAAATCGATACCACTTTACTACACTTAATCCACCCAAATAGCCGACATTAGATGTACATAACGACCAATCAAAGCTTGATTGCAATCGAAGTCCTACTAAAAGTCAAATCTTGCTACCTTCAAATATCAATTTCAACTTTAATCCAACACGCACATTCTCCTACGCAACTTTAGGCCAACCATAACGATGTAATTGAGAGGAAATAATCATGTGTTGCTGTCGTCAGTGTTGTACCAACAAATGCATAACCCGTGTGTACGAAAATTCAGGGAATATTGAGCATGTAATGCGCATAAAGCTCAAAATAAACCAAGTTCCTCAGGGAAATCGGTTTTCTTGAGAAATGATGGGCTTAGAGAGAGTTTTGGATCAGAGAGGTATGAGACATTCAGTAAAGAATTGGATCGGTTTGAGGGACTATTTGGGATTCGCGATAAATTCGGTTTGTGAGCACATTCACAGAAATCGTGCACGTGGATTGTTCGAAGTTCAAGAAGTGAGATGTGCGGAGCTCAGTAGAGTTTAAGTTCTGCGAGTTCTGCGTTAGTCAGCGAAATATTAGTCCTGATATAGCACTCCAGCATTAGTCATGGGTTGGGCAGAACTTGGTGCGAAGTACAGTAAGTAAAATTTCAGAAAGTCAGTGAAAAATGAGTGTGTGTGATGTATAACCCAGAGAAAAATCTGTTGTCTGAAGTGGGTGGAAGACAGTAATATTTCAGATATGTGAAGGGAAAAATAGAGTATATAAGATCCCGAAACCCAATTGAATTTTAAGAATCAGGTCACGGTTGAAAATGTAATGTCTAAGATACTCCGGAACTGTAATGTATGTGATGTAGGGTATTGAGTGAGTAGGAGCCATACGCTCAAGTTAATATCAAAGAGATACGCGGAACTTACATTGGTGAAAGGTCGTTAACTATTTAAGCTACCTAGAGACAAATGTCCTGTTCATGTTCTGTATGAGTTAGAGAGTAAATTTTATTATCCCATCATCTCCTAAAATCTGTTTCGAAATCAGTCCCCTACTTAAAATCAACACTGGCACAACACTGAGCGACACAAGAAGGCTCAATGGTCTGATGATGTTGTTTGTATGCATTTCAGCTAATCGAAGCATTTCAATTGACTCAACAAACAAGAGAGCAATCAAACACCCGCTCACCCAAACCGAGTAGCGACTTATTTGACTTGCCAATACCAGCAATAGCAACTAGTAAGCCACTCAATCAAGCAACCTTATAGACCATCACCGATGAGTAAGCGGCCACAATAAGCGGTGCTGTAGGCAAAACATGAAGAGAATGGAATATCATGGAAAGTGCCAACACAAACTCGCAGAGTACTAGGAAAATAGCAACAATCACACGTGTGTCTAATACAAGTTTGTTTGAATATCTCGTCTTACTCGCCTACAAGTGAGCCTAAGCATCCATACAACCACTCAAACTTGTAAGGTGAAGTTAAGGGGGAGATTAAAAGATTTGCCATACAAGCCAACCAGCCAGTCAACATAGGAGTCTCTCTGCCGCACATTCACCCACATACTTACATAGCGCACATTTGTATATATTGAACACAATGAATTGGTTGGAAGCTCCATCGGTTGCTTGCGTCGTTGACGGTGGTCGTTTTGGTCAGTTGATGGTTTTCTGTGATTGTGGTGATTTGAAAAATTCACAGTAGTGCTACTGGTAACGGGCTTGTCATATGTTATACCCTCTGCCAACTACAACTATGACATGTAGACAACAATAAGAAGTGCGATTCAGTGCTTTGAATGACTAAAATGATGTGCGGAGCTGTTGGATGAAAGTTGCTTTGCAGTTTATGGTAATTAAGCACTCATTTGTTATAGTGCAAATCTTCATGAGGTGTGCGCGTTTTATGTAGGATTAATAAACAACTCGTGTCACTGACGCGCTCGGTACAAAAAGCAGTTTGAATGAATGTCGGAAAGATGGATAAGAAGAAAGAAGGGATAGGCAGAGCGCTAAGAGTAGGTCTGTACATAGCACTTGCATGAAGTTGAGCATAAAGTTCCTTATGTTAGTTTAATAAACATCCAATTTAACTGCTCTAGCCTAAGCTAGTTGAAATACGAAGAAAAAGAAACGGACTTTCGACGGAGTCCTCAATTGATTCTTATAAAATGGTGTTAAACGAAATTCAATATTGATCGGACGAGCTATGAGGGGTTTTGCAATTTTGTTGGGCTCCTTTCTACACCTAACAATCTCTAATTGGCAAAACATCAAGCATTACTTATCAACACAGACGGAGTAGCACCGCTGAATGAGGGACATATTTTTACTGGTAATAAATGTAAGTGAACTCCTTCTTTCCTCTCAACCATACTGGATGGAGGATGATAAACTACATGCCGGGATAATATTCAATGTGAGTCGTGATTAAACCAACAACTGAATGCAAAAACCTCCGAGTGTTTTTCTGTCAAAGAAATCTATCAGCCGATCAGAGGAAGCTTTAACTGTAGTTCCCACAACTGAGGATCGTATTAAAGCGGGAAGTGACATTAGCAAGGAGTTTTTACTACTTTGAAATCAGATTAAGATTTTAACAAATCAACTCAATGCTTTTCACTAATAAACTCGAACTAAGCACAATAAAGTAGTTCCAAAGTATTTAATCAACATTTGTACATATATATATGTATTTTAATTGCACTTTAAACCAGAGGACTGCATAACAACAAAACTACTAATAAAGCAAGTATTAATTACCAAATGGGCAGCAGCACCTACGGTTGGGCATTTCGTTGGTATTCAATTATTTTCCACTGTATATGGATGTATGTATGTGTGTATCGGGTTGTATGTGTGTTGAACCAATGAAATTTAGCAAGCGCCACAAGTGCATAGTGCAAATTCCTTAAATGCTGCATGGCATGTGTGGTGAATTTCCTCTCTAAAAGTCAGACATGCCTGTGATTAGAGAGGAAGGATGTGTGCTAAACAGTGCACAGGGGCCGAAGTATGTGGACAAGATAGTCTGCTAGCACACATTCAAGGTACTCGTATGTTATATATATATATATATATATATATACGCACATATGGCTGGGTAGCGGCAAGACTTGCTGTACATTTGCGGGAGTTTTAATATGCTTGAAATATTTCCACAGCAGCCCTGGTAGTTCGCCACTTTGATCTACTTGTTGTAGTACTGAGTGGCGATAATGATGGAAACTATTTTGAAATAATTTAATGACCCTTGCTTTAAGAAATTATATCCACTTGCAAAACGAAATAAATGCTTTTCTTTGTTAATTTTTTTACAGGCATTTTATTCTATAAATTAATAGAAAACATATTAAGAGGCATATTTGATGTAGCTTAACAATAAACCATTCATTTTAAAAAATAATGGCTTCTCTTGTTCCTGTGGCGGATCTCCAGAAGGGCCTCCAAAGAAAGCAGTCTGGCGTTGAGGAATATATTTCTGCTTCAAATTATCTGGGTGAATACAGCTAATGATCGCAGGATGAGAGAAAATTTTGATTTTTGACTAAATGGCGGCTTTAAAAAAATTATTTTGTGAGAAATTCTACCCTTCAAAGTGGCTTAAAAATCGTAATTATTGCAATAAATAACAAATAGGTCTTAGAAGGTTGGGTGAAAATTTTAAGCCGATCGGTTGAGCCGTTTTAGAGAAATTTTCCTCAGCCACGCTAAAAACAGTGTTTCTAGAAAAACGCATTTAAAGTTTTGCGTATCATTCACACTAAGTCAAACTACTCCGCCTTACGCTTCGCCTATATTCGAACGCCACGAGACGTTCTTAATAAAACGATCATATCTCCGTGCATGATTTTCAGAATATATTCTCAAATATATGGACATGTTTTGAGCTAATAATTTACTAAACTAAAGTATTTTATATATTAATTTTTTTAGCGCATTTTTTTCATGGAATTTAGCAGCTGTTTTGTGTTTTCGGTATTACAAATTATTTTGTTTGCTATGCTTCCATCTTCAAGCATAAATTTGTATTTCTGTTAATATATTGAAAATTATTTGCTTAACAGCTAATTAAGCAGTCAAATGATTTTGTCCTTTTTTCAATTTATATTTCGTCAATATTCATTCCAGCCACATTTTAATCCTCTCATGAGATTATTACTACTCATCACACATTAAATTACTACGTTAATCGGATTTTGCTGCGGTTAGCCATTCAATTGGTTTTATAAAAAATTATATTTAATTTTATATTGCGCGGAAAACAAATAATTTTAGTGGTTTTTCGCTGTAACTTTTTAATTTGATACATTTTATTATTACTATAGACATACGGGTGTGCTTATATGAAAAATACTTGACATCGTATCGGTGGCAGGATATTTCAATTTGGTTTTGGAAGGTTGAGTATTTGACCTCGAGCGATCGCACCTTAGCCACAAGGTAGGCTCATTGCCCAAGTATACTTTTGTGACAATTTGGTACGATTTAATTAACTTATTTAATTTATTCTTCCCTGGGCGTAAGGCTGAAACTGCGCACATCGTGAAAGATGTGACATTTTCGGACGGACGGATTTCCTCATCTGTTGAGCATACAACGCACTCAGTCGATTTACTTTAACCAGCTAGTGGTTTTGATACCTCAGAGGTATACGTGTATGTCCCACCAATACACCCAAAAGAATAATAATTTTGAGTTTGCTTAAAGTTAACAGTTGAGATTAGGTTGAACTATCCGATTCATCAGGTCATACACAGATATAGATGATATTACGCCCCTATTTATTGTGTCTATAGAGTAAATTGGAGTTGTCGTTTTGACACCTTGGCCATAGCTGATTGATGGTCATGTAGACTTTCTGCGGCAAGTAAGCTTAACCTTTGCCTTGTATGTATTATAAAAGCTCACCCTCCTTAGCCAGTTTGCCAGCTATGTCATTGCCTTCAGTGCCAGTACATCCTGGCACACAGTTTCAGTTTAAACGCCTCTTTACATAGTGAGACCACAGCCGGCATTTAAGGTTTCATAGCCGCTTTATTAT